ATTAACAAAAACGAATAAGATGAGGCATGGCATAGGCTACACCACATGCTGTATTATATACCGACTAATAAATTACAGAACGTTTAGCAAACACTGAGGAATCAAATAAATAAAAAAGAAAATAATAAAATAGAGTCTCCATAGCATAACGTGAGGTAAACAGCAAAGATAACAAGCTTTTTAAAATGAAAACAAAAAGAAAAGTAAAACTAAACATCCTGTCGGTGATGGTGCTTGCATGTTTTTTCCCCACACAAATATCAACATGTTTACCTTCTCTGGTTTAAGAAGCAGTCTTTTACTTTACTTTAGCTTGAAACTAAAAAACTGTCTCATTTGCAACAGAAATGGCAGTGCTTATGAGTTGAACAACGCGGTGGTCGCACCAGTGCGACCGCTCACAAAATGTAGTCGCACAGGCAGAAAAAATGGTCGCAAAATGCGACTATTTGTTCGCAGTCTGGAGCCCTGTATATGGCGCGCCGCACCCCGCCCAGCAGTGTTCAGCGCGCAGGTTTCACTCTCCTCGTCACTGCGCGGTTTGACGCTCCACTCAGTATTCTGCTCTATGAATGTGCGTTCCGCTCGTGTACCACTCATGCTCACCGGAAAAGCAAAGTCAGCTCAAATAACACGCTGGCAGTAAATTTCTATGCAGTATACTTGTTCCTGTTTGCAGTAGCGCTACTGTGCTGTAACATGGTGTAGGCTGGTAAAATTATGCTACCTTCAGTGACACTATGCTCTGCTCACATGCTCCGATAATAATAGCTTTGTAGGACTATACATTATTTGGATAATTAGTCAAAAAAAAAAAACGTGCATCTGATTCTGTTACATAGAAGTGAATAAAAATAATATATTGATATTTAATATTAAGGTAACACTTTACAATAAGGTTCCATTAGTTAATGTTAGTTAATGTATTAACTAACATGAACGAACAATGAACAATACATTTATTACAGTATTTATTCATCTTTCTTAATGTTAGTTAATGAGAATACAGTTGTTCACTGTTAGTTCATGTTAATTCAGAGTGCATTAACTGTTAACAAGCACAACTGTTGATTTTAATAATGCATTAGTAAATGTTGACTGAGATTAATAAATGCTGAAGAACTATTGTTCATTCTTAGTTCATGTTAACTAAAGTAGTTAACTAATGTTAACTAATGAACCTTATTGTAAAGTGTTACCAATATTAATATAAATTCTGTCCAGTTTTATTGTGTTACTTTCAGTAAAAGTGTGGTTATTTTATTGGCTTGTGTTTTTAAAATTCAGTATCATTAAAATTGAGTTAAATTTAAAAAGTCTTACAAAATCACTTTATATTATTTAATAAAATAATAAGTAATCATTACAAAGCAGTTTCGGTTTCGGTTTTCGGCCAAGTGCATCCAGAATTTTCGGTATTGTTCATTCTTAGTTCATGTTAACTAAAGTAGTTAACTAATGTTAACTAATGAACCTTATTGTAAAGTGTTACCAATATTAATATAAATTCTGTCCAGTTTTATTGTGTTACTTTCAGTAAAAGTGTGGTTATTTTATTGGCTTGTGTTTTTTAAATTCAGTGTCATTAAAATTTAGTTAAATTAAAAAGTCTTTCAAAATTACTTTATATTATTTAATAAAATAAAAAATTATTACAAAGCATTTTCGATTTTCGGCCAAGTGCATCCAGAATTTTCGGTTTCGGCCCAGAATTTTCATTTCAATGCATCCCTAATATTTATTCATGGTGGTACAGCTACTGGTACAGCTGTACAGTCTCTTTATTATTTGCTATGGTTATACTTTTGTTTACTTTGGCTTGAAAGGAACTTTGACAGGCATCAATATAGCTGCTGTTTTATCTGTTTTATATATAAAAAAATATATTTTTCTTGCATTGTGCATGCTAAAAAGGTCAAATCTTTCCATCATTCATTCTGTTTCACACCTTATCTAACTGTTCTCTTTCCTCCCTCTGTTGTCTAGGTTTCCTCTTGTTCAAGGATTTCTGCATGAACGAGATCGACGAGGCCGTTCCGCAGCTGAAGTTTTATGAGGAGGTAAAATTGGTTTAAATTGATATATATATTCCTTTCATTGCTAACACGTGGGGTTTTTTACTAAATAGTTTCCAAGTTGTGTATTTGACCTGACCTGTCCTTATGCTCTTTATGACCTGAATTGGCACAGATCAGTCGTGAAGTTTTGTTCCCCTTCTATTGACCTGAAGAACACCATGTGTCCTATTAAAGAGCTAAGATGACATCTAAGATGACCGTAATCTTGTGTTGTCCCCTTCAGATTAAAGAGTACGAGAAGTTGGATTCGGAAGAAGAGAGGCTAGCTCGCAGTCGACAGATATATGACGTCTACATAATGAAGGAGCTTCTGTCGTGTTCACATGTAAGAAAACATTTGGCAGAGTGTATAAAATGATCACTAGCAATAATGTCACATGCATGTGACAAAGGGCTGCACAATAAAGAAATACTAAAGATTATCTCTTTGCCATTTTGCGTTAAACTGATTTTAAAGGGGTCATATGATGCGATTTCAATTTTTCCTTTCTCTTTGGAGTGTTACAAGCTCTTAGTGCATAACGAAGATCTGTAAAGTTGCAAAGACTAAAGTCTCAAATCCAAAGAGATATTCTTTTTAAAAGTTAAGAGTCAACCACGCCTACCTAAAACGGCTCGTTCTAACACGCCCCCAACATGTCTACGCCATGATGTGGGAAGATTTGCATAACGCCACCCAAATGTTCACGCAAAGAAAGAAGGCGTAACTTTATTCTCGCTGTAGTTTTGTTGTTGCCGCCGCCGCCATGT